ATTAGATCTCGGCGCTACTCTATGTAAACAAGTTCTAACAGTGTAATAAAATTAGGTATATCAATCAATCCACGGGAAAAACAAACCAGAGAGAGGAAGCTTACCGGAGATCAGCTGCTTGGATGGGATCGGGCAGGCAAGAGCTACGAACAAACGCCGTTGCGGTTTTTTTTGCTTCTCTTCCCTTTTTTCCGATTGGTGGGTGTGATGAGGGAGGGCTCTTCTTACTTGCTCCTTCCTTTTTACCAATTTTTTTTTTTTTTTTTTTTTTAACCTTCTCATTTCATTAACATACGATTTACCTTCTAATTTACTCTTTTTTTTTTTTTACGAGTAATTTATGTTGCCTGCTAAATATTATCCCAATGGCTTCAACGTAGCAATGGTTATGGATGGTGTTTTATATGTCATTGCAAGTTCGCCATATGATTTTATACGGAAAGCTAGCATAAAGGTGTAGATAAAAAGGAGCAAGGTGATACCAAACTACATATATAAAAAAGTTAGAATAGTAATAATTCAATCAATGCACACAATGACTCAAGTGACAAGACCATGGATGATTACGATTCAAAGATGTGTGCATTTAAAAAAGAGATATTTTTGAAATTCTTCCATATATATATATATATATATATATATATTATTTTGCAATTTTATAAATTAAATTTTTTGATTTTTTTAATATTTTGATTAATTTCAGTGTTTTTTCATTTTTAAATTTTTTCTAATGGTATTTCAATATTATTTTTTTAATTTATAAGGTTATTTTTATTTATATTTCTCGGTTAATATAGTAGGATATTCAAATAACAAAAGTTTAATTATAAAAATATTACAAAATAAAATGTATTTCAAAGATGTTAACGTAGATATACATATTCTCAAATAAAACATAAATTATGAAAACCTTTGGGAACAAGTTTTTTTTAAAATTTTTAACTAAGAAAACTAAAAAAGGCAAAATATCAAAAAATAAAAAGGAAAGTGTATTAAAAAAAAAAAAAAAGGAAAGGAGAAGAACATTCCAGACGAACAACCCAAAGGTCCCAAACCCTGAGGTGTCCTTAATAAAAACCTCTTCTCTCTCTCTCTCTTTCTATTGCTCTTCAAGTTTTTCGCTGCGACACGATTCAGCTCAAGTCACCCAGATTTGGCTAGACGCTTCCAGAACGCGAACCCCTCTCGCGATCCAGGTTTGCTTCTGAAGCTCCAGTTTCAGATCTTCTAGATCTGTAGCTTCTTTTTTTCTCGTAGATGTGACTTTTTTTTTAGGTTTGATCTATGTTTGGGAAAATCTCTAGCTTCTTTTGTTTTCAAACTCCCTCGCTTGGTCTATGTTACTGTTGATTGGAATCTAAGATTGTGGTTTGATTTTGATTCCGTAAGGTGGTCTTAGGGTACCTATAACCTCAGTTTGAGCTGTTTTTTTTTCGCTATTTCACAGTTGTTAAAATCTCATAGTCTTTTGTTTTTCCATTGACTTGTAAGGTTGCTATCAAATACTTGGGAGTCCCTAGAATTGACGAACCCGAAGCCTGATAATGAGTGTAGTTGGGTTTGATTTTGGAAACGAGAACTGCCTTGTTGCTGTTGCAAGGCAAAGAGGTATCGACGTCGTTCTTAATGATGAGTCTAATCGCGAGACTCCCGCCATTGTCTGCTTTGGTGACAAGCAGCGCTTCATTGGCACTGCTGGAGCTGCTTCTACCATGATGAACCCCAAAAATTCCATTTCCCAAATCAAGCGCCTTATTGGTCGCCAGTTTTCTGACCCTGAGCTACAAAGGGATATCAAATCGCTGCCCTTTTCTGTCACCGAAGGGCCTGATGGGTATCCTTTGATCCATGCTAATTATTTGGGAGAGATGAGAGCCTTTACCCCTACACAGGTCATGGGAATGATGTTGTCTAACTTGAAAGGTATTGCTGAGAAGAATCTGAATGCAGCTGTCGTGGACTGCTGTATTGGTATTCCTGTTTACTTTACCGACATCCAGCGAAGGGCTGTTCTCGACGCAGCAACAATTGCAGGCTTGCATCCGCTGCACTTGATCCATGAGACTACAGCAACAGCTTTGGCATATGGAATTTATAAGACTGATTTGCCAGAGAACGAACCACTCAATGTTGCTTTCATTGACATTGGGCATGCTAGCATGCAAGTCTGCATTGCCGGCTTCAAAAAAGGACAGCTCAAAATCTTGTCTCACGGATTCGATCGCTCGCTAGGGGGAAGGGACTTTGATGAGGTTCTTTTCCATCATTTTGCCTCCAAGTTCAAGGAGGAGTACAAGATTGATGTCTCCCAGAATGCTAAGGCTTCTCTCAGGCTCCGCGCTGCATGCGAGAAACTGAAAAAGGTTCTAAGCGCAAATCCTGTGGCGCCTTTGAATATCGAGTGTTTGATGGATGAGAAAGATGTTAGGGGTGTCATCAAAAGGGAAGAGTTTGAAGAGATCAGCATCCCGATTTTGGAGCGTGTTAAGAGGCCTCTAGAAAAAGCTCTCTCCGATGCCGGCCTTACAGTTGAAGATGTACATATGGTTGAGGTTGTTGGCTCTGGCTCTCGTGTCCCTGCTATGATCAAGATCCTAACAGAGTTTTTTGGTAAGGAACCCAGGCGTACAATGAATGCAAGTGAGTGTGTGTCTAGGGGATGTGCCTTGCAGTGTGCCATTCTCAGTCCAACCTTTAAAGTTCGCGAATTCCAGGTGATGTGTGCATATCTATGCTTAAGATATGTTGTTTTTTTATATGCTTATAAGTATCTCGAGAACTGTTATACTTCAGGTTTTCTGACTAGTCTTATAATTTTTTTTGTTCTCTGAAGGTCCATGAGAGCTTCCCTTTCTCGATTTCGCTTGCGTGGAAAGGACTAGCTTCCGATGCTCAAAATGGTGGAGCCGAGAATCAGCAGAGCACCATTGTTTTCCCCAAAGGAAATCCCATTCCTAGTGTCAAGGCTCTAACATTTTATCGATCTGGAACATTCTCTGTTGATGTGCAATACAGTGATGTAAACGAGTTGCAAGCACCTCCAAAAATCAGCACATACTCGGTATGATCTTCCCCCATTGTCATCTCTGCGTATGACTATAGCGCTCTTGTTTCTCATGGTTAATCTCGTTTTTGTAGATTGGTCCCTTCCAGTCATCAAAGGGTGAGAGGGCAAAGCTTAAAGTGAAAGTGAGATTGAACCTGCATGGAATTGTCTCAGTTGAGTCGGCAACTGTAAGTTTCTTTAATTGAACTATTTAAAGGTTCATTCTCTCTAATAATTCATTATAAGTTGATCACCCCAGAACTGTGGCTTCCCATATGAACTTGGGGTTCATTTAATTTATGATTTTTTTTCTCTCCCCTTAATTCAGCTTTTGGAAGAGGAAGAAGTTGAAGTTCCTGTCTCTAAAGACCAATCAGAGGAAACTGCTAAGATGGAGACTGCATCTGCTGAGACAGCTCCTGCTTCTGGGGACTCTGATGTTAACATGCAGGATGCCAAGGGAACCAGTGATGCAGCTGGTACTGACAATGGTGCTCCAGAGTCTGCTGATAAGCCTGTGCAAATGGAAACCGATTCAAAGGCTAGTTTCTCTACTTGACTGATGCTGCTTGCTCTGTTCATTTGCTTTTAAACCTTAAATAATTAATATTTATTAATGGGATGTACAGGCTGAGGCTCCAAAGAAGAAGGTGAAGAAAACAAATGTACCCCTGTCAGAAGTGGTCTATGGTGCCTTGAAATCTGTGGAGGTTGAAAAGGCAGTGGAGAAAGAATTTGAGATGGCTTTGCAAGACAGAGTTATGGAGGAGACCAAGGACCGCAAGAATGCTGTTGAGTCCTATGTTTATGATATGCGGAACAAAGTGAGAATCCTTATCTTCTTCATTTGCATGCATTAAAAAGGTTCAGAGTATAGGGTACTGACATATTTTGTTTTCAGCTGAGCGATAAATACGAGGAATATATCACTGACGCAGATAGGGAAGCATTCCTGGTGAAGCTGCAGGAAGTGGAGGATTGGTTGTATGAAGATGGGGAAGATGAGACTAAAGGTGTTTATGTTGCGAAGCTCGAAGAGCTCAAGAAGGTACTGCACAGGATGACATTTCGGTGCAAAAAAAAAACCATTTTTGAAGCAATATTTTGACAGAGGTTGGGATTTGATATTTTATAGGTGGGTGACCCTGTTGAAGTGCGTTATAAGGAGTCATTGGAAAGAGGGTCGGTCATTGATCAGCTAAGCTACTGCATTAACAGCTACAGAGAGGCAGCTATGTCTAATGATCCAAAGTTTGACCACATTGAATTGGCAGAGAAGCAAAAGGTAATAATTCGGCTCATCTGGAAAGCACTGAACAAATCGTGAATTTCACATGACATGTGAAAATGATCTGATCCTCGTTTTGTTGTTGTGCAATAATGAAGGTCTTGAACGAGTGTGTGGAAGCTGAAGCTTGGCTGCGGGAGAAGAAGCAGCAGCAAGATACGCTTCCCAAGTATGCCACTCCGGCTATATTGTCAGCTGATGTTTCAAGCAAGGCGGAGGCATTGGACAAGTAAGCAAGGCTCTTTGTTTTTGTTTGTCCGAAGGGAAATGCTACATGATATAGAAAGTGAACATGCTTTGGATGTTTTGTAGGTTTTGCAGGCCTATAATGACCAAACCAAAGCCGGCTAAAGCAGAGGCACCACAAGCCAAGGGAGGTGAATCTACAGATGAGGGCAAGAGTGAGCCACAGCCACAAGCTTCTTCCGAACCAATGGAGACTGAGAATCCCACCGAAGGTAGCGCCTAAATCAATCACGAGAGCTAGATGGTGTTGTATCGATTTTGTTTTTCGTTCTCTCTTTAGTCATATAGTGAACTTCATTTTCTAGTTTGCTATTATCTCCCCAAAAAAATCTATATTTTGTTCTTCCTTTGGATAACATTTTTTTAGGAAGTAAATTTGCACTGCTCCTTTTTGTTTTATAAGTTTGGTTGTTTCTTCGATTTAATTATTGTTGAGAGTAATGCGGATTCGTTCTGCATTGGACTCTTTTAACATCAAAAGAGATGCAAACCAAATTGGAATGTTAATCAAAATATATATTTTATCTCCCAAACCTCAACGTCTTCTCCTCTATCGTAATCTTTGATATACTGAGGGATATGTGTAACGTCAATGCGCTTGCCCACAAAAGTCCCCTTCTCTTGCTCACCTGTTCCATCCACATTTAGTAAACGGTCTCATACTTCAACACTGGAAAGCATTAAGGACCACAACTTACAAAGTCCACTTTCTTTGATATAGCTTCTAAAGCAGGCGTAGCCATTGGCGACTACGTTGAGATCATTCAGACTGAAGTTGTATCGTTTCTCCAGTCCCAAATATAGCACCTGCCATTTTGAAGATGACTCTTGCTCTGTATACTGTATATACATGTACATGTATGGTAGCGTAAGCCTTTAAAGTGATCCGACAATAATTACCTTGTCACACCCGAATGACATCAGCCTCTTTAATGTGCTAAATAGCGCAATAGTTAGATCATCGCTGTAGACCACATCTGCGGCGAAAATGAAGCTTGCATTTTTAACTTGTTCAAAGTCCTGCGAGCTCCAACAATACCTAAACATAAACCAGGACACAGAGCTATGTGAAGGGGCACATAAGATAAGATATGTATCAAGGTGAAGAAAAAGGAGTTTGACGCATAATTACTTGTCCGGAATTGTGCAGTGGCAATTGGTGTCTTGAATAGGCCATTCGCTGATCCAGTTGAGCTCACGGACATTTACCACAGTTTTGGGGTTAAACAAGGATGAGTTGATTTCGACGTTGTTAGCACAGTTGCCAAGAATTGCGTCTCCATGGTCTATTATTGTTGAAGGAGGAAGAAAACAGAAAAGCCTAGATGAGACCAGATGCAGCTTGAACAGTAAAGCATGGGAAAGAGAGATGTGTAGTAGAAATTAGGTTGCAGGACCAGTAAGGAAAACAGCCTTGGCGACCCGTGCAAGCAATATACCCAGTAGCCCTGGAAAAACATAAGAAAGGAGACTCAAAAAAGATGGGAATGGAAGAGTATTATGTATCCATCATGTTACGAGAAAATGACCTGTTCCGGAACCAAGTTCCAGACACACAATGCCGTGGAACTCAGATGAGGTGCACGTCTTATGTAGCACAAATTCTGATAGGACAAGTTGTGATTTCCACACCTAGAGAGAGAGAGAGAGAGAGAGAGAGAGAGAGAGAGAGAGAGAGAGAGAGGTATTGTGAATTGTGGATTGGAAAAAAGAGAATTGAGAGGCATACCTGGAGACCAACAAGAGGGAGCGTAGATGTGATAGAATGCTGAATAGTGACAGTAAACGAGAGAGGGGATGGGACAGCTTACAGAAACAAGGAAAAGAAGGAAGGGGTTAACAAAAAGGATATGCAAAGCAAAATATCATATCTACAGACTTACTAGTGAAATTGTTCTTGTTGCGTCTAGGAAGAAGAAGATCTCCGTCTTTATCAACACTGAAGTTACAATGATGATGACCGGAGAAACTGAAACGGGAAAGAAAAGGTTTGTTAGTGGCGGGTGGGCAGCCGAGGTGAATCTCGCTCATCACCTCATCCTCCATTTCTCCCACACTTATGGATCTACAAAACAAAACTTAGGGCTTTTCTAGCTCTGTGCGAATCTAATAGAGATTGAATGTAAAGAAGAAGGTGGAGATGGTCGATAATTCCAAGGATTTTATGGTATTTTTGTTTACACTTTTTTTAAGTTTACAAAGAATACACACTGATGACGACGAGTGACGAAAACATTTTATATAAATAAAATTAATATCGTGAGAGAGCATCGACGCGAGCGGCGACCTCATCGAAATCTGGGACGGAGAAGTGGTTGGGCTGCCACGAGGCTGTTCTACGACTCATCCTCCTTATCCCCTCTCCTCCGCTTGCTTTCTCCATCGATTCTGATCTCATGTTCTTACTCTGTTTCAATGCTTCCTCTTCAGGGGGCGCCTTTGCGAATCTTCGTCTCACTGATCTCGGCTTTGGTTTCCCGGCACTCGGAGATTCTGTTTCAGACCATCATCAATCATCATCACTACTTGCAAAAAAAAACCCTTTTATGTAAAACAACAACTCACCACTGTCCTCGGCCATGAGATCAGATTCGGTCATCTTCTCCGGAAGGCTTTCCTGTTTTTCAATTTTTGGTTTGCTGGTAGGCATGTATCTGTAGTAGAATGGTTTCGTTTCTGGGTCCTCCTCCGGGCCAGTGACACAACTCCCGCTTGTACTCATTGAGTCTTCTTCGCTTGTACTCATGGACTTGTTGGTGTCATCCAAAGAGTCTTCTCTGCTGCCGTGAAACGAAAGGCTGATTCTGTTTTCCACAGTTGTTCTGGGGTCGATGGTCTTTGTTTTTGCTTCTTCTGTTTCCGTCTGATGAGGTGGTGCTGTGTACAACCTCTGCTCTAACGACTTGGCATCCCATTTTATGGAGTGCTCTCTGGCTATTTCCCGCAGCAGCTCCACCTTCATTTCCTTTGACGGCGGCTCTGCTTTGAATCTCTCTACAAACTGCACATTCCCATGGAGTGAGCAAGTTTTTACTGGTTGGTTATAGTTATTGAAAGTCCTCATCAAATGCAAAAAAGAAAAAAGAAAAAAAATACCTCAGGATTGACAAATTGTTCAAGAGTATTCCCGTATCTCTCAGCAAATAAAGACCTGAGGTCGCGTAGCTCAGGCACTTCAGAGACTCTAGCGGCCGCGTATACAAGGGAGGAGATGGCCTCGCGGCACTCATCAGGGCACTGACTGCTCAAACAAGACCCCATGTTTTATATGAACGAACCTAGTCCGAAAGCAAGTAAGGGCCAAGTAAAGGGGGACATGTGTTTACTTGGATTTCTGTAAGAGAGAGACATTGGATGAAACACAGATGCAGAATTGCTCCAACAATTCATAACAAGCCAGCCTCCTTTTCTCCTCAATAAGCCCTTCTGCCTGCCCCACACGCAACCAAAACAATCTCTATTTACATATTCACTCATGTGACTAACTTGAAAAGACAAACACAATTTTGCTTATGCAACAAGTTATAAGACTCTGTTATATAACCAGCTGGTGCATGACAGCATTAAAAATGAATATATATTATATTTTTTCGCCCTTGCTTCCATATTGTAATACTAAAATAGAAGGAACAAGGATTTAAGGAAACCATCGTTGACCCTCTATTAGGATTCTTCTTTCTTTCTGTTGGAAACGTAATTGCTTTCACGTTGGGAGAACCAGTCAGATCCCCGTGACCCATTTAAATGACAGAGGAGGACATGAATTGCGGATATGATTCCTAAGGACTTTGTTGGATCTATATATGTAATATGGTAAAGAAACACAAAAAGGGAAATCGAATACCCTGCCGTAAGCATTGTAATCGAGGTTGTTCTTGAGAAGATCGACAATGTCGTTCTTGAGGTATTTGCAAACCGAGTTTTTCTTCCTCTTCACGGTGTCCACTCTTGTCTTGGTTATCTTGACCAACGTCTTGCTGAGATATTAGAAACGATTTGTGCAATCAACAAAGATGACAGACATCAATTGGAACGGAAAAAGAAAGGACAAGACTTACCATTTCGTATAGAATCTGGGTTTAAACAGCCCATCAAACATTGTGCCTTTCGTAAAAAAGGAAAGAAACAGAGAATGTTTTCTTCTTCTTCTTCTTCTTCTTTTTGTTTTTGGTTTGTTTGTTTTGGTTTTTTTTGTTATATCTCTCTCTTTCGTGCAAGAGAAAGAGAGAGATGGAGAAGAAATGTGTCGTTCTTTTGGGAAAGAAGGCGCTTTAAGGGAAGGGCTTTAGCTTTATAAGAAAGAGAGAGGGAATGAAAAAGAAACGACCTTGGTTTGGCTCGGTCTTACATGAGATCTGAAGAAACGGACTTAATTGTACCGCAAGAAAACCATGGAACCTGTGTCTCCTCCGCTTTTTTATCGAAGAAAGCATCTTCTTTTGTAACTCTTTATATATATAATTAAGGGCAAGATAGCCCGCGCTTGGATAGGGATAGCTATAGCCCCCATAGGATCAGTTCGGAAACTGCAATTTTACCAAAACAGGGTGGACGTTCCCACAAGTGTAGGGAGTTGACTAGGGTTAGTTTCGGAATTCAAACACTCTCTCTTCTTTTCTTTTCTTTTTTTATAAGTTAACCATTTCGTAGGTGACAACTAGTGAGAGAGAGAGAGAGAGTGATCTAGGAACATCATAGATACAGTGAATTCTAGGAACATCATCGATTTTAGTGTTTAGTTTCTTTTTTTTTTTTTGTTAAACCCATCATAGATCCAAACCAACAACAAACGGTGATCTCTTTTAGGATATTATCGATTGGGCCAAAATAACATAGGCGAAGCCCATTCGACCGGTCTAAGAAAAAGAAGCTTGCTTGTTCTCTTAGCTTTAGCCAAGAAATAGAGATGATCAGAGAGATTTGGAGTTTGAATGTTTACGTTATAAAGTCGGAATCTTTTCTTATTCATGCGGCACACGAATCTGGCTAAACATGTGCAGAAGAAAGAGGAGAAAGAGGAGAAGGTGAACAGTTCCCAACACTAGTGCTTTTATAAGCTTGTATCCTTCCAACTTAGAGACTTATTTGGTGCAAACAATGTAAACTGATTTTAACTAGAGTGAGAAAATTAACAACGTTAATGATAATCAGCTTGACGTCTCTATATCTCTCTCTCTCCCTCTATATATATATATATATATATTCAAATTCAAGAATCAAGATTATAATTATAGTAATAATAATAAAAAGATACCAAATGTTTAGTGTACTCGACGTTTCTTCTTCTTCATGTGATGATGGATGGGGATTACGTGCACTACTTTGTTCCTTGAACAAAATCCGTTTGAATGGAGTAAGATAACACGTTTTGAAAATATAGGAGTTGTTTAATTCGTCCTTAATAATAAGACAAGACAGACACTCATATAATATTAAAGCACTGAGAGAGAGAGAGAGAGAGAGAGAGGGAGGGAGAGCTATCAATTGCTAAATGATAGTATTAAATATAATAAGGCTAATGTGTGATCATCATCATCATGGTTGTGAAGGAAAAACAGAGGAAAAGAAAGAGTTGTATACTGGGAGGAGATGTGTATGTATGTAGGTGGCGAGAGTGGGTTGGGGGAGATGGTGTGACAAGGACGGTGCAATCTCAATCTCTAGCTTTCCCCACGATAGTATTTGTGTCTTTTTGCTTCTTCCTTCTAAGTTAGTACTCCTATTAATGAATAATGGTGATCCCCAAAAGCCTCCTCCCCCATTTGATTTGGTGATGATCATTCCTCTCTCTCACTGCTAAGTTCCGATCGAGAGGAGACAGATTATTTCTTTTCTCTATCAAGTATCAACTTGCCTACCTCTGTTTCTATCTAATCAAATCTAACCAACAAACCCAAAACAAAAAAAAACAAAAAAAAGTTGCTGACTCACGTTTATACGTCCTTGGACGACCTTGAGAGATGGATTTTTGGCCGGAGTTTATGGCGACCAGCTGGGGAAGAGAGTTCGTCGCCGGTGGTTTCGGAGGCGTCGCCGGAATCATCTCCGGTTACCCCTTGGACACCCTGAGGATCCGCCAGCAACATAGCTCCAATTCCGGATCTGCCTTCACCATTCTCCGCCGTATGCTCGCCGTTGAGGGTCCCTCCTCCCTCTACAGAGGCATGGCTGCCCCCTTGGCCTCCGTCACTTTTCAGGTTTCTTTTCTTTCTTTTTTTCCTTGAAAAGATTCAATCAACCTTTTTGTTTCTTCTTATTGCGGATAAAGCTGTCTCAGAATATCCCCCACCAAAAGAAAGTGAAGATGCTTATTTGATTTGATGATTCTCTTTTGCTAAATCACACACTCTCTCTCTCTCTCTCTCTCTCTCTCTCTCTCTCTCTCTCTCGCTTTTCTTTTTTTGCAGAATGCTATGGTATTCCAGATTTACGCCATTCTATCTCGCTCCTTTGATTCCTCTCTTCCTCTGGAAGAACCTCCTTCCTACACAGGTGTTGCTCTTGGAGGGGTCGGCACCGGTGCTATGCAGAGCCTCTTGCTCACCCCTGTCGAGCTCATCAAGATTCGTCTCCAGCTACAACAACACACCACCAGAACCAACTCTGGTGGTGGTCCCGTCAGCTTGGCCAAGACCATCCTTAGGACCCAAGGTCTTAGGGGGATTTACAAAGGCCTCACCATCACTGTCCTCAGAGATGCTCCCGCTCATGGCCTCTACTTCTGGACCTACGAGTACGTCAGAGAAAGGCTTCATCCCGGCTGCAGAAAGACTGGTGAAGAAAACCTCACCACCATGTTGGTCGCAGGTGGCCTTGCTGGTGTTGCCAGCTGGGTCGCTTGCTATCCCCTTGATGTCGTCAAGACCAGACTCCAACAAGGCCACGGGGGTTACGACGGCATTGCTGATTGTTTTCGCAAGAGCGTTAAACAGGAAGGCTATAGGGTTCTCTGGCGTGGCCTCGGGACTGCTGTTGCCAGGGCCTTCGTCGTCAACGGTGCTATTTTTGCTGCTTATGAGGTTGCTCTGAGGTGTTTATTCAGTCAGTTGACACCCGCTTATGTTGTCACAGGAAAGTGACTATACTTTCATGGACCTGTGAATGTAGTTAAATATTATTAGTTCAGAAATCACAGCGACATTCAAAAATTATTACAAACCCAAAAGAAAACAGATGAAATGAAATTCTATATGCTCTTCTCCTTCCACTTTTTTGCTAATGGTTTACGTAGAAACTCAGTGCCAAGGATGTCCTCCAATCACAGACTCTGTCACTAATGCTGAATTGTTTCATATGAATTTTCAATATTTTTGTGTTTGAAGAATTGGTGCAACAGTCTGTGAACATCTCCATAGCCTTTGGTGGAATAAATAAGACGATCTTTGATCCACTTTGGGAGCTTGTTGGATGGAGGTGATGTTCTTTTGGATGGATCATTGGAATATCTACCATCTACCAGTAAAATGGCTGCATAATCCTTTATGTGCCTGATGGCCCTACCTGAAAAGCAACCAGGGAAGAAACATTAATTTGTCTCAGTCCCTCAACACTAAATAAAACGCAACACTTTTTAGGAGCCCGCAAGCTCACCGATTGATTGGTTAACTGCTTTCATACACAAATTTTCATAGTATTCTTTTCCTCTCCGTTTGCAGCTCTTTAACACGCCAAATCCTGCTTGAACACCTCCACTGTAGTAAGAATCATCAACCAATGTCACAGAAGGTTTTGCGGAATCAGAATCTCCAAGACCTTCTATATGCTTTATTCTCTCTAACAACTCAATGTCAGACGGGCTGGGATACGGCAGACCAACCATCACAACACACCGGCACATGCTGTCGCTGAAGTTGATTCCTTCTGACACCTTCCCACCAACCACAGCTAGCATTATTGCCCCTCTTTCGCTTTCTATCGTTTCCTTGTAATCTCTGAGAACAGCTTCTACTTCAGTGTTTCTTCTGGGTTCTCTGAACACACGCTTCTTCTTTATAATTCTTCTGAGTATCCCTGAGTTACTCCACGCTGTGTGCACCTGTGTTTCATACTCAAAGGAGGAGAAGAAGACGATAACTCCTTCAGGAACCACTGCCACCAGGTTGCTCATTAAGAGTCCTAACTCCTGTATCTGTCAACCATAACCCAGAGAGTCAAAAACACAATACTCTTTCTGAATCTCACTAATGTTAAAGGAATAAATCATGAGGGAAACGTGCTGTCAATTGGATTACCTACCATTGCTGTTGAGCTTCTTGAACTGTGGCTAAAGTCAAAAGACTGACCCGAAGGACCATGTGAAACTGCGATTGGCATTATGCTCTCAGGGGGAACAATGTGACTACATGAGAAGAACTGCAGCTGATTCGATTGTAGCCATGGAAAGAGTCGTTCCCTTGTCTCTTCTATAGGTTGAAGTGTCCCACCAGCCAATATGACAGCATGTGCTTCATCCACCACCTACACAAATTGGTTTCATTAACAATTACATTGTTCAACTGCGGAAACCACTACGTAGTCAGAAATAAAGAAACTCATTTATGCAAGGGCCAACCTCTGAAAATAACTTCGCTCCAGTAAGCATAACATATTTGATGTACCCTCCTTGTTGGCCAGAGGTAGATGAACTCGTCCTTGAAATTATTATCCGCCCATCACCATTGTTGTTAGTGAGTGCCACCAACATATCAGAAAACGCTCTAAAACTTGTTAACTTGCTCGTTTGCTCATGTGCCACTGGATCTTTCTGCAACATAGCAACTCTCTCCCCATACCCACTGACCTGGACACAGTTGAACAGCAAAGTTAAGAAAAGGGCAATGAGGAGGAGAAAAGAGTTGGACAAGCAAAGGGGAAAATAGTAACAACCAATTACCTTATGAATGATATTGCTTTCCTTTATATAGGCAAGTAACTTGACCAAATTGATATTGTCTATATTAAGATAAAATAAAAAGTCATATATTGCCATTGAACAAGCACCGCAAGGATTGCTATTAGAGGGGTGTCCATTATCAAGTCCAACATTTACGCTGTTCAGAATTGTATCACTAGTAAAGGGTTTGAGGAGGGCTCGGGTGAGAATCAAAAGAATTTGGATATATCTCCGGTTTCCAGCTCCCAAGAGATTCTGGAATCTTCCCAGATAACTCTCTATACTGCAATGTATATCATCCAACTGCATTACAAAATCACTTAGAAATCATGACTCCACAATCCACATGATGTGAAGTATCTGTAAAGCAGCTTCGAAATAATCCTATTCAAACAACATGAGCTCTAAGAGCAGATGAAACTGAGATTTTACCTGTGACACTGTTATTTTTGCATCATGCATACTGAGAAGAGTGTCAGCCAGATTGTGAGCCTCGTCTATGATAACAACACTCTTTTTCAAGCTTAGACCAAGAGATTCTCGTGAAGACTTTGATAGAAGAGACTGATATGGAAGAATAACAAGATCAGCTGCCGGGGCCATTCTTCTGGAACCGTAGTATGGACAAGTTCTCATTTCTCGTCCAAGCTGAACAAGATCCTCAATGTCCATGGCTTCTTGTTGAAAACTCTCAGCCTTGAATTCTCTCTGTAGTTTATGTTTTCTAAGCATTGGGCATCTGCAAGAAGCTTTGGTTCGTCCTACCTTTACATTTGTACCTAAATTCTGAAATGTGGAAGCTTCCCCTAGTTAGCAATATAATTCTTTGATTCTGCTAAACGAAATGAGAAAATGAGCACATATTCTGTGATGTCAGTGAGAAGCTTGGATTAAGAGTTCAGATGCTTACTTACCAGGAATGCAAGATGGAAGACGTTTTATAGATCAAAAGCCATATGATTAAACAAGTTGATAATGTGTACCTTCTTTTTAGAGACTTGAGATTTCTTCTTCTTTTGTAACTCTAAGCACCTCTCGCTGATTCGGGTCACATTACCAAGCTTAAGAACATCTGTACATGACCCTAGTGTAAGTGTAAGTAAGTATGAAGTAAACAATGAAAGAGAGTAAGGAGAAATGACGGGACACCTTCATTTATGCACAAGTTCTTTCGGGAGCCGAGACAAACAACATTGATATTTTTGGCAAACACAGTCTTGCGCAACTCCTTGACGAATTGGGAAAGCTGTGAATGTGTTCGGCTGCAAAAGAAAACCTTGGGTCCTTGTTCGTCATCGGAGCACCCATTCTCGTCGTCCTCATCCTCTGATGAACTGTCAAAACCTCCGGCAGTTTTTCTCTTGGACTTGCGAGATGAGTCATCTTCGCTTTGGTAATCTTCCAACAAAAATTCTTGATCGTTGAGATCGGCCTCGTATTTGCTTACAGAAACGTCGCCTTCCGTGGTGGGGTTAGGGAAAAGTTGGGGAACCCTTTCCTTGGCATGTTTCCTGAGCCGAAATGAGGATTTGGAGCTCTTGTCATCATCATCAATGGTTCTATTATCGTTGAGAGTGAAATCTCTCATCCAATCGGGCTCGTCCTCAGCACCAACCTTGTCGGAGTCTTCAGTTAAATCAGAGTTGCCCTTCTCCTTGCGGTCAATCAACCACTGGAGAGCACTGCAGATAATGCTTAGAGATTTTCCAGTACCTGAGAGATCAAACCCTAATAATAAGTGAATACTGGGATCGAATTAAAATAAAATAAAAAAAGAATAAAGTACCAGTGGGGCTTTCGAGCATGGAAACGCCTCCATTGTCCAGAAACTGATAGAGCGCATTCATGAAATCGATTTGGATCGAATACGGCTTGTACGGAAACGCCGGGAATTCTCGTTTCTCCGTCATCGAGGAAGAATGATTCCGCTTCCCTTGTTTTCCTTTTCTAGCAGGGTTTTTGGATTGATGATGTCCCCTTCCAACCAAAAAATAGTTGGCATTTTGCCGCCGATTTCGAAGAAGACGACGCTGTTTGGACGCGGGGCTAAGAATACTCCAGTTCAGCTTTTGATGGGCTCGAATGGAAGATTGAAAAGCCCAATTAAATTAAAGGATGGGCCTTTCAAGCCTAATTAAATTAAAGAATGGGCCTTTCAGTGTATAATCAACTAGGCTTAATAAGTAGATGGGCCTATTAATGTATCAGATCCAACCCCTCTTCTCTCTTCCTCGCCAATCGCTGGCTTCCTTCAACGAAGAAACCGCCAGCAAGTTGCTTACCCAGGAGGTCTGCAATTTTCTCTAGCCTTCCTTCATTTTCATCTCTTATTCCCCCGATCCCTTCTACTGTTTAATATAATAAAGGTGGAAGGTGGAGTTCTACTTCAGCGACAGCAATCTTCCCAGAGATGAATTCCTCAACCAGGGCAGAGATGCCGGCGCCAAGTTAGTACTAATACCAAAGTAAGTATGATGGTTTGTGTTTGCTTTTCGTATGTAGCAGATTGGCATGACCGGACTATTCCTGTTTGCTATACAGGATTGATTTTGACTGTCAACTCGGAAAATTAGGCTCAAGTCCTAGACATAATGAGTCATTTTGTTATTTGTTTTGTGTCACCAAAGTGCTTCTTGATTGATGAAATGCTAGTTGGCTCATATGTATTGCTACGAATTCCACAGAGGTCAGCTTGTCAAATTCACATTGAAATGGATAGCCATTGGAGAAAAAGTAATGATCAAAGGTACTTTCTCGGTTTTCAATACTTTTCATCTCTAAAAATATATGAACTGCTCTCTAAGCAAGAGTAAAATCAGAGAAAAGGAAGATAAAAAGACAGGCATTGTGGAGAGATTGGAAGAAAATGATAGAAAGAAGGAAACTGGAGATTCCCGCACAGATAAATCATGTGCTAGGAGAGAAATGATAATCATCTTGTGGTTCCCCCATGGAACAGCAGTGATTCTGTTGGCTCTGAGGTTCTCAAGGATGTATTTCAAGATTTGGCAGCGTTAAGGTAAATTGCAACTTGCAACCTTTGTCCAACCACCAATCCCCTAAAAAGTGATTGTTGAGCGATTATATTTTCATGTGCTTGGTGTTTCGCTAAAAAAGTGATTGTTGAGCAATTATATTTTCCTGTGCTTGGTGTTTGTGTTATGTCATACTTTTCTCTCTACCTTTTATATATATGTTCACCTGATAATGAAGTCTTCTGGTGATTAGACTGGCAAACGGTATTGTTAAGTTATGGGTTAACTTAAAGTTCTAACGTAATGTGCCAAAAATATATTGAACACAAAAACAAATTTTGTAAGGTTTTGGCTTGTGTTTCAACTAGTGTTCAAAATTTATTATTCCTTATATACGACAGTGCATCTTTTTTTTTTTTTTTTTTTTGGTAAAGTACGACAGTGTATCTTAATGTGGTGAGAAATGAGTCAATGAAAAGTCTTTCAAATGAAACCAAATCTCAAGTGTATTATTATTCAGACCACCGGAGTCAGAAGCGACTTCCCAGAAAAGTGTGCTTCCAGGTTACCCAGCACAAGATCGGCCATGGCATTACGTGTCTCCACAGTGCCACTCCCCACGTGAGGGAGGAGAATGACATTTTCAAGGCCAAAGAGCTCCTCAGGCACGTGAGGCTCTTTCTCAAAAACGTCCAGGGCAGCCCCACCCAGCCGGCCTTCTGTTAGAGCTTTTACAAGCTCTTGCTCGTCAACATGTGGTCCACGGCCTATGTTTATCAGCACACCCTTTGCTCCTAATGCATCCATCACCTGCCGGTTCACAATGTGTGTGGTCTCGTCTGTCAAAGGGCATGCCACCACAAGGATGTCTGAGTTTTTAGCGAGGTCAACCACCGTTGGATAATACTTGTAGGCTACGTCAGGCTTCACTGTTCTTGAGTAGTAATTGATTGGGCAGCTGAAGGCTTCAGCCCTCTTTGCGATGGCAGTCCCAATTCTACCTAGACCAATGATGCCCACGGATTTTCGACTAAACTGAGCCAACAAGAGAGAATGTAAAGTTTTCTCCTGTGTAAAGCTAAAGCAGAAATCGAACTAGAAGACCAAAAGTTAAAGCAGAGCTCCTTCCTAAGCAGCGTTATACAAATCCCGTAATTTACAACCTGGTCATCACATTTCAACAAGCTACAGTGTCTACTATACCAGCCCTTACGATCATCACCTTTTTTTATAATCTGGCTTTCCATTTTTGTTTCAATTCCAAGCAAAGCCATCAACATTAACTTTGATTTTTCTTTTTAAAAAGAAATTACATGAAAATCTGATTTAACATGCAGGCGTGGATATATCTAGCAAAGATGAAAGATGTCAATACTTGTTTCAAGGGTAGGATTCCGAACCTTAGTAGTGAGTTGGAAGTCACCTTGCTTCCATTTTCCGCTCCTGACATAGCGATCGCACTCACACAGCCGTCGGAGGAGAGCGAGTATAAGCCCAATCGCGAGATCTGCGACGTCTTCGGTGAGAACGTCGGGAGTGTTGGTGACGCGGATCCCTTTTTCCTTGCATATTCCTAAATCGATCTTGTCTAGGCCGACGCTGAAACTGGAGACGATCTCAAGCTTGGGCAGATCGCTGATGAGTTGAGCATCAGCGCCGGCAGAAGCATTTCCAACGACGGCGCGGATAGAGTTCCGATGTGTCTCTAGGAAGGCGGATTTCTCAGGAGAAGTCCAGTAGCGAAGAAGGTTAAAGCGCTTCTGAAGCTCGTTCTCGAGGTACGACGACATGGGACACATCATCAGCACTCCGATTGATTCCATTTTTTCTCCAAGAGTGAGTGGTCGGTAAGGTAACTGGTGATGAGGACGATGCATCTTTTTAACAAAGATTAAGATGGGCCTATCTATACTTTAGCCCATAATTGATATTACCCACTGGTATTGGCCCGCTAAGTAAAGCTGTGTCGGCCGAATATCTTTTCATTACGGACAACATTGCAAGTTTAATGATATGGCATTCATTCATGCAAATTGAGAGATTCATGAACATGATAAAACCACACCAATCCACACTAGACAAGCCTGTGTCCTTTATTATTATATTTAATTTTAAGAGAAAACATGTGTGTATGGAAAACGTAGCAGATTCCTCGTTTACATTGTTAGTATAATCCAGTGAAAATGGTAATTAAAAAAAGAATTGACAGTACACACCATATGTATATGAGAAACGTAGCAGATTGCTCGTTGACATGGTATAATCTAGTGAAAATAGTAATTAAAGAATAATTAACATTCATACTATATATCATTTTCGTTAAGGCACTCTCTATCTCAAATTAATTAATTAAAACCCCTAAATAATAAGGAATAATTTGAGTTTTAGTACGTTTTCGAAACTTAATTTGCGATATAGTACGTTTACTATTTATAATTGGCAAAATAATACATTTTTACTATTTGAACACTATTTGAACACTATTTATAAATCTTTTAAATCTAATAACTATGATATTCATCAAAATATATTTGGTTTTTATAAAATTTTAGTTACATAAAAATCTATATTTTTATCTCTATAATTTGACATGCATTTTATTTTAATAATCTTAAATATTTTTAAAACAAATTTTGATACGTCCAGCTATCCTCATGTACAGTTGTGTGTCGTTGTACGGAAATTATTTTGTATATTTCCGTACAGCGATTTATATATACGTATAATTGTATGTGTACAGATATTTTTATGGTCTATATATGTATATTTGTTTATGTGTAAAAATGTTTTTTTTATAGTTGTTTGTCTCTGTACAAATATTTTATGTATAATAATATGTTTGTGTACAGTTGTCTATCTGTACAGATATATGAATAGTAAAATTGGGCTATTTTACTAATTATAAATAGTAAACGTACTATATCGCAAATTAAGTTTCAAAAACGTACTAAAATGCAAATTTTCCCAAATAATAATTAGTTATAATTAACAAGTGTGATCTAAAACTAAAACATGCACCTCACGTCCCCTCCTCCAAAATAGGAACAAAGAAAGAAGAAGTTCCACAATTTTCTCAAAGCCAAAATCACTGTAATAATTAGGCATATCTTTTTTATTGTTTTTGCCGCTCGATTAGCTTCTCCTCCCCTGCCTTTTGATTCTCCACAATCTCAAGAGAGGCCCATTTTGATCCTCTCCCTCTCTCTCTCTCTTTCTCTTTTTTGTCTCCTCTCTAGATTTCTCTCGTGTGATAATAATATCACAAAATCAGGAATGGTTCGTGCGTCAGAACAAGAACAAGAAAGCTATAGGAGCAGGCTCTTCAATTTCAAATGGAGGAACAACGAAAACAACAATGCAGCGAGACACGCCAAAAGTCTCAGCGTCGAGACGGGTCTAGACGAGGCTGCCACCGGGTCCAACGAGCCCGAACCGTTGACCATTATTCATCCTAGTCAGGGCCCGCCACTTTTAAGATCGGCTGCGGATGAAGCAGCGCTTGCCGCTGCACTAGCTAGAGAAAAACAACTTTTGGCAGGCATGTCTCTTTTCTAAACCCCTTTTTTATATTAAAAAAAAAAAAAAACATCTCCATATTGCCTAGTGCTTTCTTATCTAGCTAGCTAAAGTATGGCTTGCGATGACTGGATATATATCAGACATGGAGCAGATGAAAGAACGTTTCTCCAAGCTGTTGCTGGGAGAGGACAATTCAGGCGGGGGCAAAGGAGTATCCTCTGCTCTTGCCCTCTCAAACGCAATCACAAACCTTGCAGGTAAGTTATTGTTTTGCTGGATTTTTGGACCCTCTCTAATTTGCTAACCAAAACACTCTTTACGTTATATATTGCTGGTTATAGCTTCCGTGTTCGGAGAGCAAAGACGTTTGGAGCCAATGCCTGCAGAGAGAAGAGCAAGATGGAGAAAAGAGATTGATTGGCTTCTCTCCGTGACTGACTACGTGGTTGAGTTTGCTCCATCTCAACAAAAAAATAAAGATGGGACCAATATGGAGGTAAACCTTCCACAATTAATATATATATATCTGCTCATGCATTAACACATTTGGTAAACATTCCACAATTAATTATTTAAATGGTCTTGATAAAACAGATTATGACCACACGCCAACGTACAGACCTCCACATGAATATCCCCGCATTGAAGAAATTGGACGCCATGCTTATCGTAAGGACCTCTCTATCTCTCTCAATACCCAGTGTGACTGCTTTGATTCCAAATATAATTTAATATATCATCCTCTTTAATTTATTGCCCATTCATTTTTCTACTTAGGATTGTCTAGAAAACTTCAAGGACCAAAACGAGTTCGTCTATGTTTCAAAAGACTCCCCTGGCTCAGATTGTAAGAGAAACGACGACAAATGGTGGATTCCGACTGTAAAAGTTCCACCAGATGGCCTATCCGAAGCTTCTAGGCGGTTCTTGCAGTACCAGAAAGATTGTGTAAACCAGGTTCTAAAAGCAGCCATGGCCATAAACGCTCAGGTTTTGTTTGAGATGGAGATACCTGAGAGCTACATCGACTCTCTGCCAAAGGTTAAGAGACAGATAATATAAAAAATAACAGCATACATATCCTAATAGTTATTGAAATGAGCTGATCATGTTTATAAGTTTGTTTGTAAAAATATATACAGAATGGGAGGGCGAGTCTCGGAGATCAGATGTACAAGAATATAACGGTGGACTTCTTTGACCCGGACCAGTTCCTGAACAGCATGGACATGTCCTCGGAGCACAAGATCGTCGACCTCAAAAATAGAATCGAGGCATCAATCGTAATATGGAAACGCAAAATGGTTTACAAAGATAGCAAATCATCGGCACCATGGGCCTCCGGAGTCAGTCTGGAGAAGCGAGAGGTGTTCGAAGAGCGAGCTGAGACTATTTTGCTCATACTCAAGCAAAGGTACCCTGGGATTTCTCAGTCTGCACTCGACATCAGCAAAATCCAGTTCAACATGGACATGGGCCAAGCGGTGCTGGAGAGCTACTCGAGAATACTGGAGAGTTTGGCGTACACAGTACTATCTAGAATCGATGATGTTTTGGAGGCAGACCGCGCGGGGAACAAGAGGAGCACACCGATGGAATCAGAGGACGAGACGCTGGTCGGGAGCATGACGCTGTCGGATTTCATGGGGTGGGACTTCGATCAGGGGAACAGTGTCGGTGGCGACTTAGAGTCTAAAAAAGATACATCAGATGATCAGTTGGTGAAGGAGAAGCTAAGCGTAGTGACGACCAAGAAGACCTCATACCTCGAAACCTTAGGCGGCGTCAAGAGTCCGACGGCGCGACATTGATAAATTATGGGGACATCTTGGAAGAAAACCAAAAATTAGGAGGGCAAAAGAGCTATTATGTTATTTTTAGGATTCAAAACTTTGGAAGGGCTTTGTAATTCCTTTATTGTAAAAAAACACACATTGGGCTTTATAAGATTAGGCCCATTTTATTGTAAACCCATTTTAACGAACCCATATGTCAGTCATATTTAGTAGCCTTATCCTCTTCATCCCAATCCTCCTCACTTGTCTTCCAAATCGATGACGTCCCTAACCTCATCCCTGCAAGCTCTCAAGCTCTCGTCTCCCTTCGCCCATGGCTCCACTCCTCTCTCATCCCTCTCGAAGCCCAATTCGTTCCCGTCCCCTAGAATGCCCGCTTTAGTTCCGGTCATCAGAGCGATGAAAACGATGCAGGGGCGCGTGGTGTGCGCAACCAACGACAAGACTGTGGCGGTGGAGGTGGTGAGGCTGGCTCCCCACCCCAAATACAAGAGGCGTGTGAGGAAGAAGAAGAAGTACCAAGCTCATGACCCGGATAATCAGTTCAAGGTGGGCGACGTGGTGAGGCTGGAAAAGAGCAGACCCATCAGTAAGACTAAATCATTTGTGGCACTTCCCGTCGTCCCCAGGAAATCCCAAGGCGGAGGCGATGGCATTCTTGGCATTCCCTTGGAGTCTCAGCAGCCGGCTTAGATAATTCTTATCTTTGTTTCTTTCGGTAAAAGCTGTCCTTTTTTTTTTCCTGCTCTGCTTCTGCTTCTGCTTCTGTTTCTGTTTGTTGTGTGTCCCGAAGAACCCTCTGTAATTTATGGAATGCTTTTGTGATTTCATTGCTTATGCCACCAATGTGCTTTCAATCTGATTGTTTCCTAGTTCCAATTTGTTTCTGCGTTAATTTATCGTTTCCAGAATGTGATTGATGTTTGTGTTGGTAATGTCTTCCTAATTCCAACTACTGTATCTGTTCTTTGGTTAATTCTTCCGTTACGATTCATATTTGGATGGACTTTCTCAGTTTTCAGTCAAGTACAATGCGCTTAGTGGACCAAAGATAATGTTGGATGATAATATGATTGCAGAAGAGAGAGCTGTTTGTCGTTTTTGTACAAAACTTAAATGCAATGCTATACACTATCATATACTTATATATAGGTAAATAACATGCGGCTTCTTCATACATAAGAGTGGCACCTGCTGCGACTGCCGATCGTCATCAACAATCTTCGATTTGTAGGCTTCTCTTAATGTTGTGTAGCGTCACAGAGACCAGGTTTGTGACGGATTCCACAGACTCCATATTCAGTTTTGTTGCAGGAGAAGGGTTAATGAGGGTTTGGAGAGCGACAGTGAGGAGAGACCCTCCTTGGCTGTTTCTGTCGTCTTGTGTTGTCGTGATTACCAGCGGACGTGACTCTACTCCATCCGGTATGATTGAGAATCCAGAGGGTAGGATTTGGATGTTGCTCGGATCATGTCCCGCGAGCACCAGCTGTGTCGTGTTTATGTCTACGGGAGCGTATACCACCACCGACTCAAAAGAGTTAGTGCAGCTGTCTTGCAGCACCCATATGCTCTTTTCTCTTGATTTCACTGTCTGGAATATAGAAATCCAGTTTAAGGAAGCCGGGACAAATTGATACAATGAGCAGACAAAATAAACCTACCTGGATAGCCACTGAGTTGCCTCTGTCTTGTCCCTTGGATAAGCTTGCAATAGACTGGACATGGGCTCCATTTGACAACGCATCCCACTGTATATATAGTTAAGCATATATATGAATGGAAACAGTGTATATATGTTGTTTGCGTATATGTGTATGGGTTTGAGAGTGTACCTCATGGCGACGAGCTTCATCTCTGAAGTAATCAAAGAGAAGAGTTGGAGAAACAGGTAACCAGAGCGAAGAAGAAGCGCAGACAATGACTCCCGTGGGTTCCCCAGGATCATGGAGGTTCTTCCTGGAAGAGACCCGCATGTCTTGTCCAGTTTTTGTGGTGATTTTTGTCCATTGATGGTAGCTTGAAGCAGCAATGGCCCGGTAGAAACTTTGTGTCATCCTCTGCGCCATCTTCAGCACACTCTTTCTCCCGGCCAACGTTGTAACTCCTGATCGGAGTATGGGGTTTAGAAGTAGTGAAAAGATTATATGTATAGAAGGATAGGGAGAGAAAGAGAGTAAACGGAGACATACCAAGAGAGTCCTTGGTAGGGACGTTGGTAGCCATGAAGAAGACGAGGCGCTCGCAGTGGAGCTGAAGTGTGGCGACCCAGTGCCGAGCCCCAAAGGCCAAACCGGTGTTGACTAAGGAGCGAAAGAGAGGCTGGACCGTGGAGGCAGACACGTCGAGGTGCTCCACCCAGGTGACCTTGGAGTGGCCATTGGAGGTGTCCTCGATTATGCACCCTGAAGGGAGTTTCCGACATTTCAGAAGAGAAGCCTCCTTCTCCGTATTGTTGTCCTCTACGGATACCGAGACGTCCACGACAGCCCATTTCTCAGGGCTCAGCTGCCGGCAGCTTCTCACGAAGTACACTTCTCTAGTGGGAACGACCGGAGTGAGCAGCTGCATCTCCCCAAACATCTGCCAGTTAATTAACCCATGTATCAGCTCAGTTGAAGTCATTATTAATTAACAGTTATGTTATAAAAATAAAATAGAGTTGACAGCTCACCAACTGAATGGCACCGTCAATCCTTGAAGGCCCTTCACCTTGACGGATCACATCAACTGTCGCCGCCTTTGAGATCAAGCACGCAAACATCTCTTTCCATTGCCCCTGCGCGTTACACACATGCATGCATCAATTTATGGCATGGCATCCACATTTGTAGTTGTAAGTCATATATACATACATGTTGTAGTAGCTAGAAACCAGCAATTGTAAAAAGAATAAAAGAAGGTACCACGTCCATGAAACTTTGGGCAAGTTTATGTGCGTCCATAAACACAATCCCCACATCTCTGGAAGCTTCGATGGTTTTCCTTCCAGGAAACGAAGAGGCTTGAGCTTGGGGAAACTCCTTGAGGTACTCATCGTAGTTGAGAATCTCACGGCCAGTCTCAACGCTGCGGAGCCACAGAGGTTCGGCGGAGGTGGCCATCTTCTGGAGTTCAAGGGTCGCTCGGTTGGCAACCTCGGCGATGCGGGACTTCTCGAGGGCAAAGACGCCCGTGTAGAAATCAAGAGATCCGAGACGGTGTTCTTGATCTTCGGAGCATGAAGCCTGCAGGGGATAGGGAGTGCGTCCGAGAGCCGCACGAAGCTTATCGAGCTCGGCTTTCAGTTTGGAGTTTTCGAGGTGTAGATCATCGGGGCCTCCTCCGCAATTAGGGCAAGAGGAATTAGCCTTTGAAAACGACTCTCTCATGGCTTTGTTTTCCTCTCGCAGCTTCTCTAGCTCCGCCTTGAGCAGCGAATTCTCGTGCCGTTCTTGAATAGCCTGTTCATACATATATATATATATATATATTTTTGATTTTAAAATCTACTAGCTACTGCATGGTTTTTTGTTTTTCACAAATCCATATCGTCTGTCATGCATGTAGATGTAGGTACACAAACCTTGATCTGGGTGCGGCGGTTTTGGAACCAGAACTTGACCTGGCGAGGAGCCAGCCCTAATTGCTTGCTCAGCTGCTGTCGTTGCTTCTCGTCCGGATGTGGTGTCTCTTTGAAGAGCCTGCGTAGCCCCATCAAATTCAGACATTACCATTATTGCATATGTTTGTTGTGTTCGAAAAGATGAAACAAAGCAACCGAACCCTAACTAGGCATATACTACCATGCACTCGCCTTTTAAATAATTATGATCGAATGAAACAAAGTAACACTTTATCGTTTGAGCCTAGCTAGTGCTATGACGTACATGTCTGGAAAATATATATATACAGAATAAAGAGAAAGCGTAGGGAAACAATGTAAGGCACTGAAATGAATACAATTAGGTATGTATGTGTGAATTAGTGGAAATGCGTAACTAGATTATAGCGTGTGAATGGCTGCTCTTCAGCGCAAGACACCATCCTTTCCACTAAGTAGTACATATATATATAGTCCATAGGGAATATAATGGTAAATATATGGAGATGAGGTGATACATAAAATAAACATATATATATATATATATATATATATATTTGGGAGGAAAGGATGAGACATATATACATATATATATACGTGATATAGAAATGAAGACGTACAAAGTTCAAAAAACCAACTAATGAATATAAATAATGACGTTCCTTTTGTTTGAAATTGAAACCCTAATTAGAGAAATCGGAATCCACTAAAGCTAAATAATCAAGAGGGGCTGCTGGCTAGTGTGAAAATAAGTAAGTAAGTACATGTATAAGCCTGCAGCGATAGTATATTATATAGAATAAAGGGGGAAGACGATAACGTACGCTTCCATGTGTCTGATCTGATCGGTGGTGTGGCGATGATACTTCTTCCTCTTCCTCTTATTGCCTTTGCTGCCATCCTCTTCCTCATCCTCCTCGTGATCCTCACCGTCCAAGTCCTCCTCTGATCTGGATCTCGTTGGTCCTGAGTTCTCGCTGCTCATCTCCACCGTACGATCCTCATCGTCAACTACCTTTCTGCTCAGAAAGTCCTCCTCAGGGTTGGTGCTGCCGGAAGATGCATTCCGAAATATCCCAGCCTGTGTGTATGTATATATATATATATATATATATGTGTGTGTGATCATCAGTGATATATACAGAAAATAAATAAAAAGAGAGAGAGAGAGAAAGAGGATACATACGAGAGAGAGGGAGAGGGCCGGAGAGGAGAAAAAATCTTTGGTGGGTTGTTGTTTCGATGACATCTCGACGGCCATTGACATACAAAATCCAAATCCCTTCTTTGCTTTCCTCTCCCCACTCCTTCTTCCTTTTATATATATATCTCTCCTCTCTCTCTTTCCTTTATTTAAATCTTTTATTTCATTTTTATCCCAAACATTAATGTAATGTAGGTTTATTTTTTTTTATAAAGCCAAGATTTTGATGATAATGTAGCCTCTTCAATTCCAATTATAATTTGATAACCGGTCGTTTTTCAAATATTTCTCTATGTACGTACTGCTTGACTTTTAGGTGCTTCTTCAGTTTTATAATTAGTTTTTATATTTATACAATCATCTCTATTTTGTTCGTACTTTTACAGTTTTTTTATTTTTATTTAAATAAATATATATTGACACTAGGAACTTGAATCCGACAATTGATTAGTATAAAACATGGCCAGCTACAGATATTGCAGCTATATCTCAATCGACAATTCATTTTTTTTGTTGTTTCTTTTTTTTTCTAAAGTCGATCTATTCCTAGAGAGAGAGAGAGGGTGAAATTTAAACTATGAATATGGAAATTAATTAATAAATCACCCTAAAGTATGAGCTTCCTTAATTAAATGGTGGAAATCATGTGTTCCCGGGCACAGAATGAATTGAAGGATTAATTGAAAATCATGTAATGATGCGTGGAGTTGAACATCATATATGGAGCATAACGATGCCATATTAAGCATGATGAATGTACGTTTTATATATATATATATATATATATAATACCCGTCGGAGTATATCATGACGTTTGCGCGCTATATATACATACTAGAATTATATTGTAGAGAGAGGCAGGGAAGGGAAGGAGCTAGGGGAGAATAATAAGTAAAGGGGTGGGGGGGGGAGTCGGGAGGGGGGTTGCATGGTATGATTGATTTAAGGGTATACAAACAAAAGACGTTAAACTTCTCTCCTTCTCTCTTCTTTAATTGAATTTGTGTGTAGAGCTTTAGGTTATTAGACGTATAGAGATAGAGATAGAATTAGAGAGACATTGATAATGTATATTTGTCAGATTTGTTAATTGG